AAAGCACAGGGGACACCAGGGAAGAGGGAGAGGTCCCCACCCACGTGGGGGCCGGCCATGGATTGGCCCCTCTGTACCCAGGGCCCCTGTGAAGGTGCAGGGAAGGGGGAGGAATTCAGAAGTGAAGGAGACTTCTGCGGGATACCCTTAGACACACAGTATCAATACAGTGCAATACTGGGGGGTGTTGCCAGCAGCCCTGGAGCCGTGGGGGGCCAGAGGAAGGACTGACATTGACAGCAGACCCAGCCTGCAGACAGAGCCCCGGGGAAAGGTTTGCACACAGAGCGGGACTGCATTAGGTGGCTATGCCCAGCATGGGCGACAGCACAGAGATTCTCAGGGCAGCCTCCATCCCACGCACCTGGTAATGTGCTTCCCCTGTCACGCGCCACAGCTCGTTCATGGCCATGGTGTAGAAACACTCGCTAAAGATGGTTCGCTGCACCTTGACCGGGCGGCCATCCCGTGTCAGGACAAAGGCACACTTCTTTCCAGGAGGTGCCACTCGGGCATAACGCAGCAAAAATTCGCCACCTGGTGGTTGGAAAATTGACATGCTAGAATTCAGGTGAGGACACTCTCGCCTCTTCTTCCCACCTGTGAGCGTCCCCAGCCTCTTTGCTGTTTCTAGACCCCTCTAGAAAGTAGGCACACATGAGCTATTGTGTAAACTTGGAGTGGCCTTTGGGAAGAAGGTAGGGGCAGGGAGAGGGCACCTGCTTTAGCTGAATCCAGAAGTTCAGGGCAGCGGAAGCGCTCAAACTTGCGGTACAGGTGACAATACATCCACACCTGTGAAGGAGCAAAGGGAACGTGGCTTAAGAGAGGGGCAGCAGGGTCCTCAGGGCTGGGGTGAGGGGGAGCCCTAGGTGCCCTTGGCAGGGAAAAAAGGAACAGTGTCGAGGTGAGAGACTTTGTCGTGTGTGTGTGCGCACGTGTGGACCGAAGCAGGGCAGACCAAGCTGACTTTGTCTTCCACCCCTGGGAAAGCTGCAAGCAAGCCTGGGCACATCCCTACCTGCCTCCCCTGCAGCCAGACATACTTGAGGTCGTCATACACATGGCCATCGCGGCCGAGGCACGTGAAGAAGCCCCTGTAGGACACAGCGTTAGCAAAGGGAAGGGGCCCTGCACCCCCAACAGCCTTCTGGGCCCAGCAGATCTGAGACGGCTGAGAGTGAGGCGGGGGCTCAGGTGAGGCAAAGACCCTGCTGAGGGCACGGGAAGGTGGGCGAGGCGCACCCATACTCCTGGTCGTGGGAGTGCTCCATCCAGAAAGCCACCACACGGTCAAGCTCCTGCCCCACGCGCTCCTTCCAGGTTTGCAGAGTCTCCCGCTCCTTCTCCATTTCCTGGGGAACTTGGGACTTGGAGGTGCAGCTCCCCCACAGACCTCCCCATCTTCCTGGATCCCAGCCTCCTGAATGGGCTCCTCTGTGCCCCAGGTCACCCCAGGCTTGAGTGGGCACCAGGGCTGCCTGACCCTCAGGCCTGGGGATCCAGCCCTTGATTGTTCCCCCAACTTGTGTGCAGCGCTGCCCTCTGACCTGGGACCAGCCCCAGGACTGACCCCACCAAACCGGGGATACTTCAGAACAAAACCTTACTCCCCACGGGCCCCACCACTGACCCAACACACTCAGGGGCCCCCCGTTCATCCCTACCTCTCCTCCAGGAAGCCAGACCCAGATGGGCACGATCTCGTGACTGTCACTCAGCTGACCCAGCTTCGCCCCACCCACCCCCTCCTTAGGGGTTCCGCGGGGCCTGGGGGGCGGGCCCCCGAGGGGGCGGGGCTTGGTGAATCGCTAGGGCCCGCCCCCACGCTTCGGCTCCGCCCCCACACTCAGCCAGCTGTGACCCTCTAGTGGCTGAACCCCGGGATCGCTGCCGCTGGGGCCGTCAGCTCAACATCTTCCTGGTGGGAAATACTGGGTGAGTTCACAGGAAGGTATGGGACGAGGTCGGGGGCGGGGCTGGGAGGGTGGGTGTGTTGGGGAGCATGGGCCAGTTCTCCCTGTCCAACCATCTCTCCCCACCCCTGAACTAAATCCTGAGAGGGCCCCTAGTGTGGGAGTGTGGCTGGGCCAAGGGGGGAGACCACGGGGCAGTGGCCTCAGCAAAGGTGTGGGGCTCAGGTACAACAAGAGAGGGGATGGCTGGAAGTGCCTGAACTGAGGCCTCTCTGACCCTGTGACCCCACAGAGTGAGCAACTCCTCTGGATGAATCAGGTCATCAACTGCGTCAGTGGTCAGGGTCAGTGCAGGGCAACCATTGGCATTGACTTCTTAGCTCAAGCGATGCAGCTCAAAAGCCGGGCATCAATTGTGCAGGTAAGGGTGAGGGTCCCAGGACCCCTGTCTTCTGACCCCCAAGTTCTCCAGGCCTGTCTTCCAGTGGCCAGATGTGGTTTGTGTGACTCTGTGACTGACTGTGTGACCTGATCAGGTGCCCTGAGCAAGGCTGGCTGACCAACTGTGCCTCACTTTCCCTGAGATGGGCCTAATTATGTGGAGGCCATGGTTCAGGGGCCGGATTGCCTGAGGGCCGCCAGCTCCCAATATGGCTTGTGGGAGCTTGGACTTCTGGGTCAGTTGCCCCTTCTTCTGAAAGGATGGAGTGCAGCCCAGGAGTGTACGTGGGCCTCCCTGCCTCATCAGTGCAGCTCCGGAATGCAGCCAGAACGCAGAGGTTCCAGTGCTTGAGCATGGCCCTATAATGCAGCTCCCACCGCTGAGTGCTGGTCTTTGATGTCACAGTGGTTGACTCCTTCCAGGCTCTGGTTGCTTGGCAGGCCGACTTCCTGCTGTGGGTTGACCTTCCCAACCCCAAACAATTCCCCTTTGTGATGCTTGAGAATAAGACTGACCTCCCAGTGGGGAGGGTTACAAGCATACCTTGGAGATACTGCGGGTTCCGTTCCAGGACACTGCAATAAAGTGAGTTGTAATCTCTTTTAAAATATTTTTTATTTATTTTTACAGAGAAGGGAAGGGAAGGAGAAAGAGAGGGAGAGAAGCATCCATATGCCTCTGGCAGGCCCCCAACTGGGGCCCTAACCCACAACCCAGACCATGAGTTGTAATCTTTTTGCGGGTAGAGTGTCTTGCCTTCAATTTGTAAAACACAGAACATCTATGACGTACAATAAAACCAGGTATGCGGGCCCTGACTGGTGTGGCTCAGTGGGTTGGATATCGTCCTGCAAACCAAAAGGTCGCTGGTTCTATCCCCAGTCGGAGCACATGTCTGGGTTGCTGGCCGGATCTGTTGGTGCTGGTCTCAAAATAATGGGCCCTCAATTGGGCCTGCGACAAGCAACCGATTGATGTTTCTCTTCCACATCTATGTTTCTTTCTCTCTCTTTCTCCCTCCCTTCCCCTTTCTCTAAAAATGAATAAATAAAATCTTAAAGAAAAAAGAAAACAAGGTATGCCTGTGCACTGTTTTTGTCTTGCCTCTACCCTTCACCCTAGCTCATGCTTAGGGGAGCTCACCCCTTGCTTTGGGCCTGGCTGGGCTCGTGTTGACCTGCCCTGCTCCCAGGTGCCTGTCATTGTTTATGGTGTACCTCTTTATGTTCAGCCTCACCCCTGCATCCCTTGCACTCTCATGCCAGACCCTTGGTATGTGGAGGGTTCTAAGGGTCCCATTGGTGGCCCCCCTGGCCCTCGATCCAGTAGACAAGGCCTTGGCCAGTCTTCTGATACCACTCCTCTCCCCTCTCAGGTCTCTCCCCAGGAGGCTGACGAATGGTGAGCCCATTATTTTGAGACCAGCACCAACTAGTGTGGCCCTTGCCCTTCCTAGTGCCATGAAGACTGCCTTAAGGCAGGTGAGCACGGGAAAGCAGAGGGTGTGTGGGAAGAACCCCTGCAGCTTTCTAAAGGCTAAACATCCAGAGTCATCTGTCACACACCTGACAGATCTGCACATGACCCCCCCCCCTTTCTGGGGCCAGCCCCAGACTCTTGGTTACAGCTGGACTGCATTGCTCCTGCTGCTCCGATGTGAAGGACACATGGTGAGGTCAGGACCCCTGGAGGCCCCAGGACTGTCAGATCAGGGTTGGTGCAGTGGAGAAGACAGGGCTATAGCCCTCAGGGTCAAGATCAACAGGACCCCACAAGAACCCAGTGGATCGGGCACCAGGGACAAGAGCTGGCCCCAAGAGGCTCCGGGTAGAGATGAATTGGACCCACCTCTGCTGCACCTGTGAGCTGGTCCTGCATGGGAATGTGCATCTAGCAGGCGGAGATGGAGAAGGCGGTTTTTGGTACCAGAGTGAAATTGTGAGGGGGTGGAGTGAGGAGGCAGTCATACTGAATTCTCCCCTTGCTTTCTGTCCGTACCACCAGCACTAAGGGGACCACCTGGCCACATCCAAGCTCTCCAGGCCTCCAGGCTGCTTGGCACTAAGAACTAATTCAGTGTACCTGATCCTGGCTATACCCTAGCAAAACCACCCCACCCCAACATCGGGGCTACCCCACAGTTGGTTCAAGAGTTCTGCTTCTTCCTCCCTGGGGCCCTGGCTCCACTGCGCAGGGAAGCCGGCCAGGAGAATCCACCCCTACAGTGCCTGCGGAGTGCTAGACATGGAACCACCCCATGGGTGAGTGACCTGGGAGTTGATATTCTGGGGGCTTCCTTGGGTCTTGAGTCCTGATGGAAGCTCTAGTTAAGCCCTCCCCAGCTGGTGACCTGGCAACCCTTTGCCCCAGTACCCTGTTCTCTGGCAGGGGAGCTGGTGGTAACTACCTAGGGAGCCCTGCAGTCGCTGCTGTGGGGCCTTCTGCTGCAACCACTAGGTCCCATTCAAGGTCACGGGCTGTGATGGAACCTTAAAACTTGGGAGGCAATTGGAAAGTAGAATCTTTTCCAGAGACAGGTCCTGCAAGAGGGTCCCTGGGGATTTGGTAGGCGTGGCGGTCCCAGCTCTCCACACCCAGCCCCCACCCATGGCAGTTCCAGACACAGTGAGAGACGACAGGTGGTTATTTCAAAAAAAGTCTTTTAATTGTTCAAAATAGCACAAAACGACATTGCACTATGGTAATATTGAGTCACAGGGGTTACTCTACAATAGATGAACGGGTGTACTGTTCTCAGAAATAAGAGAAATTAAAGGGTGCTTGGGACAAGGAACAGGGAAACAATGGGACCAGGCGAGTGGGCTCCAAGGTGACTAAACATGACATTTTCCACAGCGAAATATACTATAATACAACAAATCAGAGGCCCCAGAAGGAGCCAAGTGGTGGTGGTGGTGGTGAAGCCACAGCTGGTCTCCAGGGCAGACTTGGAGAAGGGTGTCTGGGAAGATGGGTCACTCATTTTCAATCTTGTGTGACCTGCTTATAAGCCTTGCTCCTTGCCTAAAGCTTAGGTGTGGGGCAGAAAGTGGCTTATTAGCCACTTCAAAAGCAGAGCCCCAAGTCTGATCCTAGGACCGCACAGCTGGAGGACGCTGCTGCACATTCATAGACCAGGGAGGCGGTGCTGTTAGCCTCCGGCACCCCCAGGCTCCCTCCTGGGTGAAGCCATACACTCAGCCTCAGACTACCTCTGAAAAACGTCCCCTTCATGCCCCCACCTCACCTTTTCCTTCCAACTTTGCCTGCAGAGGGGGTGGCTGCAGGAAGCTGCGATTGAAGTGTCGGATACTCTAAGCCAGCTATGTATGCCAAGGAAGGAACCTGGGGGTGGGGGGTGGTGAGTACTGTGAACCGGGACCAGGAGGACCCACCGTTTCTGGGCTGTTCTCAGAAACTTGACTTTGGGCTCTCAGACTTTCAGCTCAATCCTGTGGTGAGATGTGGAACATTTGCCCGTGGGGAGTAAAGTTTGACAGCTTACCCCTCCTTTGTCCCAGAGGCCCAGGGACAGGCAGAGGCCAACGAGAAGAAAGTGAGCTGGGCAGCAAACACCAGGTCCACAAGGGGATCCATCCATGCCTCTCCTGCCCTGGCTGCCTCCAGCTTTTCCTCCAAAAAGATCCCTGCCAAGGCTTAGCCAAGGAGAGAATAAAAAAAAAAAAGAAAAAGAAAAAAAGAAGAAGAAGAAGAAAAAAAAAGATACACATTCTGTACATGGCTAACAAAAAAGGGACAAAACCCCACACGCTAAGGCTAAAATTACAATAAAAATGTTAACTTCAATTTCAACCTAAAAAAATACAACAAATGCAGCAGTTGGTGATGTGGCCCCTAAGCCCTGACCCGGGGAGCGGAAGCCAGGCTTGGGGGAGGGGGCTTCTGTAAACCCCACTGGGAGCCAGATTTTCACAGAACACTGTTCAGGCCACCATGGGACCCCCTTTCTCCCCCTTTTTCTTCTCTTGTTTTAAATGGGAAAGAAGACAGAAAGGGAGAGGAGTTGGAGTAGATAAGAAGGCCTCTGAGAAAATATAAACTTCCGGTGGGATCACGAGAGAGAGGATGGGTGAGTTGAGGGTGGGCTAGTAAGTGGCAGGAAAAGCAAAGGGAAGAAAATAAAATCAGACACACCCAGCACAGGGTGCCCCACAAAGCCTCTCTTGCTTCTAGGAGCAGAGCAGGGGAGGGGGATTGAGGGGTGGCCTTTCCCTGGCTTAAGTGTCCCCTCAACTACAGCTCTGACTGCCCTCTGGAGCCAAGGGTGATAAACAGCAAGAAGCTAGCAGGATGTGGAGGTGCGTGCCTCTACTTCTTTTGCATCTTTGCTCTAAGACCTGTGTCTCTCCTTCAGGGCCTCTGGACTCAGGGGGCAGGCGCACTACTCTCATCTGCTCACTGCTCTTCCAGACCTGCCTCTGCTTCCACCCAACAGCAATGGTAAAATGTGCTTTCTTGAGATTATTTTATAAACAGACAAGAAAGGAGAGAGAATGAATGGTGGCCAGTAGCTTGAAAGGGTGTGAGTGCCAGGTGGGTGGGATGGACAGGTAGGGCCCTGGCAGGCGATGTTCCTGAAGCAGGGGTGGGGGTCGGGAGAGGAATCCAGGTGCAAAGCAGCTGCCTCTCACTGACCATCTGCCTTAGATTTCTTTGGAGCGGTTTTCCTGGGAAAGTGGAAGGAAAAGGGAAAGTGTTAGCGTGGCCCCTGACAACACTAACACTGCAGACCTGCTGTAGGTTTCTGGCTGGTACCCAGTGGAGGTGCACACCCAATTAAGCCCCCCCCAAATCATTCAGGAAGTGGAGTCCCCTACTATTCCCACTATTCCTTCTTCCCAGGAGCCATCCACCCTCAGTCCCAGAAGGTTCCCAAAAGGAGATTCCTACTTACATTTCCGGAGAGGACATGGGCCGCTTGTTGGCTGGCTTGGTGCCAGGGGTGTCTTTACTGGTTTCTAAAAGGAAAAAGAAAGAACTGAGTGACACAGCAAGGTGGGTCACATAACTTCAGCCACACAGCCATCCCCAGGCCGAGAACACAGCCGTACCCACCCCTTCACCCACAGCCTCCCAGCCCTGCTGCACGACCAGCTGAATGTGACGGCCCCTCCGGTGGGTGCGCTCCCCATGGTCCTGGCCGCCAGTATGCCACCCTTCGGGGTGGCCCTGGACTCAGTTTAGAGGCCCTCATTGTCTCCTTGGTCAGCCTGGTGGGAACTAGCTCGTAACTTAACAGGGCAGCCTGGGGCCTCCACCCCCACCCTGCCCCTTGTCCACTGGGCTCCAGCCTCACCCCACGCCCCCTACTTCAGGCTCCTCTAGTCCTTTCTATACCGTCTCCCTTCAAATGCCCCTGGGAAACTTTCCCTGCACCCTCAGATGAAGCACGGTGCACACCCCACAAGACACCTCCTCGGTACCCTAGGCCATTCCCCCCTCCGCAAGACGGTAAAGGCCCAAAGTCCAACTTGGAGCTGGATCTCCCTACCCACGTGATGCTTGCCAGGGGCTTCCACTCACCAACCTCCCCTCCCCAGAGGCTGCCCAAGCAGCCGTGTGAATGACACATACCTTGCAACCACCTCACTTGGGTGGCTGGGCCATAGCCCTTCTCGTTGCGGGCGGCGATGCGGAAGATGATGGCGGGTTTGGTTGTATAGTCGATGTGAGCATTGGAGAGACTGGAGGACTGCACGAGGCAGGAGGGGCTGGGCCCGCAGTACACCCGCATGAAGGCCAGCTGGGCCGGGGCCGAGCTCTTGGCCTCGCCGCCGGCCTGTGAGCTCTGGATAGCCAGGTACACAGAGTACTCAACGATCTTGCCGGAGGTCACAGAGGGCGGTTCCCAAGTGAGGTGAGCACCATCTGGACTCTAGGAGCAAGATGGCAAGATTGAGTTGTGCTATCTTCAGCCTTTGTGACTTTACCCCACCCTGCCTGTGCTGAAACCACTCCGCAACTTCCAGACCTGACCGCTCGTACTTCACCACTACTCCTAACACAACAGACTTATTTCACAGCAGAGTTCAAGGAGCTCTGGAGAGATGGCCTCATCTGCCTCCATCTGGGGGGCAAGCATTGTGTATGTAATGGCAAAATAAAATGAATAGGGACACAAAATACAGCCTTCCTATACCCAATCTGACACCTAATGATTTGTCAGCCTCTTGGTGCCTCAGTTTCCTCTTTGAGAAAGTGGAGCTAACAAGCCCCAGACCTCCTCAGGATAGTCTAAGAATTAGATAAAAAAACACATTGAACATGACATGCAATAGATACTCACTGACATCAGCTGCCCTATTAGAGGGGAAGAATGAGGCCAGGGGACAGCAGGGACTTGCCCTTGTCAGCCCAGCAACTGGTGACAGTGCGAGGAGTGGAAGTTTCACCCAGACCTCACCGACTCTACCCACATCTTGTGGCCCCTCCTGAGTCACCCCCCGCCCAGCACAGTGTGAACTCCACTGTGGCCTGCTCTGCTCTAGCTGGGGAGGGGACCAGCCGGGGACCAAGGGCAACTCTGCAAGAAGACTCACTTTGCTGATTTTAATGGCACAGGGGGCTCCTGGGAAACCAGGCAGACACGTCTTAAAGGCTGAGATCTCACTGAAGGGCCCCCGGCCACAGGCATTGATCCCAGCAACACGAAACTTATAGGCTGTGCCGGGCTGCAGTTCATGCTTCTTCAGCTGGTTATAGTCTGGAACAGTGCCCGAGTCGTCCTGGGTAAAAAGGCCGGAAACAGGAGGAAGAGGGAGAGAAGAAAAGTTAACATAAACCTGACTGGGGCAGGCAGAACCTTTTTTCCAACCTGGGGACCATGGAGGTCCACATGGGAGAGGGGAGGGGAGGAGGGAGTATCCTCACAACAAGAGGAGGACCAAGTATCTTCACTGCTTCAAGGGGAGCAGGCAGAGGGCGTGCTGGGGAAAGCTCTGCACGTGGCCATCCTGGGGCTCGCCCTGAGGTGGAGGGCGTCCCTGGGGAGCTTCAGAAGTTTCCTTGAGCCTTTGTATGGGCCTCATGGCCAGGCTCCACCCACCTGAAGACATCAACTCCTGGGGACACTTACATCAGATGAGACAGAATCATCTGGTGGCAGGAAATAGTGTGTCACCATTACATTAGTGCCCTTAATAACCCCCACATCAAACCACTGATTCTCTTTCTTCACTGGAGCTTTACTGGGTGGGGGTGGTAGGTCTGGCTTCTGGAAGACAGAAGAGAAGAGATCAGGCCCTCAGCCTTCAGGGCCCAGAGGCAGGGACCCCAGAAGCCCCATCAGACCAGACTCACCACGCCCAAGGACTCAATGCCATTAGCCACCTCGGTCAGGGTAGCAGCAGCCTGCAGCTTAGCGGGACTGGATCCCACGACCGGCTGGGGGGCCACAAATGTGTTGGAGGGAGCCAGGCCTGGGAGGAAAGGAGTCAGTGGGAAAGATCTGAGACACGTGGCTTCCGTGCAGGAGCCCTTGCCTCGGACCAAGCCACACCCCATCTGTGCATGGAGAGGCCCAGATACCCACTAAGCCTCTCCCCAGTCAACTGAGTTCCCTGAGGACAACGCTACAGGAAATGGGGCATGTGGCCAGGCTGGGCTCTGCTTACTCTCAGTGGCTGTGGAGGGCAGCAGGGCCACAGTGCTGGGGACAGCCCCGGCCAGCTCGCTGAGGCAGTTGCTTTCAATGGTCGGGTCATTGAGGCTGTCGGCAGGAGCCAGGGCCTCCGTGGGGAGGTGGTGGTGCTGCTGCTGGGCCTGTGCCTCCTGCAGCTGTTGCTGCTGCTGCACCAGGGCGGCCAGCTCTTGCTGCGTCAGTACGATGGGGATGGTGGTGGCCTGGCCCTCCTGGCCCTCAGCTGACAGGTGGCCCAGCTCCGCTTGTGTCACGGCTCCCGCCGCCTCGGATGTGTCCATGGGCTCCCCACTGCCTGCTCCAGGACGAAGAAAACTACTACTCAAAAGGGACCCCAGCCAGGGAGAGCCTAGGCCTGGCTCCCCAACGTCACCTCCAGGATCCCACCGAGCACTACGGGCAGTGCCAAGGAACACACACCCGGAAAGCCTGTCCCACCAACCTTATTTCTTGGCTTACCTCTACCCTGCCCTTTCCCAACCAAGGGGTCCCGCCCCCTTCCTGGGTGCCCAGCCCAGCCCAGCCCCTGCGCTCATCATCTATCACATCGGACCCATGCCACATGGCAGGGAATAGGCCTCCCCTTCTCCTGGCCGCTCACCAACAGGGAGGCTCCACAACCCTGTTTCCTCACTCCTCCCGAGGGGCCCATCGCCTTCCCTTTGGGGTACTTGTCCGGCCTTCCCCTCAGTGTGGTGAGCTACTCATCCCCTGCACCTACCCATGACAGCCTGCTGTGCGGCCTGGAGCACAGCCTGGATGGCCAGGGCCTGGGCTTCCTCCGTGGCTGCGGCCTGGGCAGCCGCTTCAGCCGCAGCAGTCACTGCCAGCTCCTCAGGGGTGAGCCCTGTTACCATGAGGGTGGTAGTGCCTGCCTGGGCCTCGGCCATCAGCTCTTGGGGAAGTGACAACTGGTCTACTTCAGACTGTGTGGGTGGAGGTGGCTGGACCACCACAGTGGCCACCATGGCTGAGTTGGCAGGCTCCTGGCCTGAGGATGGGTCCCCTGTACTGCTCAGATCCACAGCGGCCTGGAGCTCAGAGGTCTGCGAGGCTGACAGGACCTCGGTGGACTCCCCCATCAGGGGTGTGGAGGCGGGCTGCAGGAGTTGCTGCGGCGGCAGCTGCTGGCGAGGCCCTGGGGAGGCCTGGAGCTCCTCTGGGGGCTGCAGGATGTCAACAGCAGAGAAGGGCATGTCAGAAGTTTCTGTGTTGGCTATGGTCACTGTTATCGTGGCCGGGATGGGGACTTCGGTGGTCAGAGCCCCTGGGGTAGTCTCAGTCACTGATGAGATCTTCTAGAAAGGGAGAGAAGCCCCTGTCAGAGGGGAGGAAAGAGAGGCCAGAACCAGGTAGCCTCCATCTTTCCTTGTGGACCTGGGTTCCCATTCTCAATGCACCAACATAACCCTACTAAACGGGGAGGGGGCCATCGGGTCACCAAGCAGCAGGGGTGCGGCAAGAGGAAAAGACCTTTGAGAACTGCTGACCAATTTTAACCCATCCTCAGAGAAGCTTCTTCGTCTAGTCAGAAAGGGGCACTCGGATAACCGCCTTGCCACTCTTACGGGCTACAATGAAAGAGCAAGCCACGGGACTGGGGGTTCCTGCCTCTTGCCCAATCCTGGCAGGAAGCTGCTCTTTCACAGTCTGGAAAAGGGACCAGGAGCAACACTGTGCCTGGTACAAGAGTGACACCCAGTGTCGGACTCCAGAACAGCATGGGCCAAAGGCACAATGGGAAGCAGGATCCCTCTCAGCCTCTTACCGGCACAGAGGGGCCAGGGACTGGTGTGGACTGTGTCACAGTAGTCACAGCCCGTGTCAGCGTGGAGGACACAGTTGTCATAATGGCACTGGAGCTGGTGATGTTCACACTCTCGCCCTGGGTGGTCTCCACTTCTCCTTGGTCACTGGCAGCTGGTGGGGGATCTGTGGGGAAGCAAAGCAGGGAGATAGTCATTCGACCGGCAGGGGCCTAGGGGTGAGGCTGGATAAGAGCCCCAGGGCCTCTGCCCAGCTTTGCCACTAGAGGACGAAGTTGCCAGGAGGGCCACCCCTACCCTGCAGGTCAACCGAGCCCCACAGAATCTGCTGGGCACTAGCTAGATAGATCTTTTAGCCACCACTTCCCTCACCCTTTGAACTTTGGGTTCCAGGAGACCACAGATGCCAGGCTGGTGGCCACACTCACCTTGATTTGAGCTCATGTTGGAGGTGACGGTGGTGGCCGTGTGCGTGGTGCCTGTCTCGTGTGTCTCACAGGGGGGATTGGAGCACACCCTCTGTGTTGGGAAAGGAGCCAGCAATGAAGCACTGGTCTGGGGAGCAATGGTGGGCGGTGCTGCCCCCTCTAGCCCGGACTCCAGGGTCCTGAGGGAGGGGGTGCTGTCAGGGAGCAGGGCACCCACGCTGACCGACATGGTGGTGCCAGTGGAAGTGGTCTGGTGGGTCTCACAGGGGCGGCTAGCAGGGGCCTGCTGTCCCCCCTCAGGATGGCCCGCACCACCACCAGAAGTAGCGGTGGTGGGTGTATGGGTGGTGCCCGTCTCATGGGTCTCGCAGGGTGGATTGGAGCAGACTTGCTGGGCGTTGCACGCATTCGAGGTAGTGGCTGTGTTGGTGGTGCCCGTCTCGTGGGTCTCACACGGTGGATTAGAGCAGACTTGGGTCACGGTGGCCGAGGGGCACAGCAGGGCCTCCAGGGCTGTCACAGTCGCAGCAGAGCTCGGTGAGCTCTCATATGCAAGTATGGGGATCCCCTGCACCTCGCCAGGCTCCCCAGTATACATTGTGGCGAGGGCTGTGGTGGGGGTGTTGGTTGTGTGGGTGTGGTGTGCCTCCAGCTGGTACTCCACGGACGCCAACTGACCCAGATCGGCTACAGGGCTGTCCTTGCTGCCGGGGCCACTGGGCCTAACTTGGCCGCTCGTAGAGGCCAACTGAGCAAAAGCAGTGCCGTGGCCTTCGGCCTCCAGTGCCAGGCTGTGCCCAAGAAGTGGGCTGTCTGAGCACAGGGCCCCGCTGGCCATCACAGTCATGGTGGTGCTGGTCGCACTGGTCTGGCGAGTCTGGCATGAAGACTTGACGGAACCAAGGGCTCCCTCCGGTGCCCCAGCAGCCGCACTGACCCGAACCACAGCAGGGGTGGTGGTGGCCACACAGGTATGCCGGGTGTCTCGCTGCTGGCTGGCACCGATGCTTGACATGGCAGTGGTGGCGGTGCTGGTGGTGCCCGTCTCGTGGGTCTCACAGGGCGGGTTGGAGCAACCATGCTGCCCGGCCATGTTGGAGGTGGCAGTGGTGGCCGTATTGGTGGTGCCTGTCTCATGGGTCTCACACGGAGGGTTGGAGCAGACGCGCACCACACTGCCATTCTGCTGCCCTACCGCTGTGGTCACAAGAGAAGTGGCTACCTCCTGCCTGTCACAGACAAACTGCATTTGGTTTGGCTGCGAGTGCCCTCCAAGGTTAGCCACGACGGTGGTAGTGGCTGTGTTGGTGGTGCCCGTCTCATGGGTCTCGCACGGTGGGTTGGAGCACACCAGCGTCACAGTGCCGGGCTGCACATCACCCTGGCCAGAGTCAGCAATGGTGACAGTGGCGGTGGGCTGTTCTGTAGTAGGTGAGGCCAGAATGGACACCGGGAGGTCATGTACGGGCTGGGCCTCAACCCCACTGGGTGCTGTGATCAGAGTCACTTGGGTAGGCTGGGAGACAGGCTGGAAAGACACCAGAAAGAAGTGTTAGTGCCACAACTTCCCATCTGTTTGTCCTTTGCTATGTCCTACAGTGTCACCCAGAGCAGCTGAGACCATAGACCTGGCTCCTGCCCACCCTCTGATCCCAAGACACTGACTTTGCTCAGGGACCAAAGAAGAGGCGCTGCTTTGCCCCAAGGGCCACAGGGCCTGGGTGGGGCCAGCCCTGGTTAGGAAAGGAACCCTGCACCACACAAAGGCCAGCAACAGACGCTTCACTAATTCCAGGAATTCAGCTTAAGCTATACGAGGAAAGAAAACGCTGCGTGTACATTAAGATAAATGATCACATTGTCTGTATTACAAAAAGGAAGAAGCTGATGTTCAAAAACAGTAAATGACTGAAACGTGTCTCAACGACAGATGATTAGTAATCAAGAATTATGATTCTGGCCCTGACCGGCATGGCTCAGTTGGTTGAGCATCCTGCAAAACAAAAGGTCACTGGTTCGATTCCTGATCAGGGCACACACCTGGGTTGCAGGCCAGGTCCCTGGTTGGAGCACGTGTGAGAGGCAACTGGTGGATGTTTCTCTCACACACTGGTTTCTCTCCCTCTCTTTCTCCCTCCTTTCCCCCTCTCTCTGAAAGTAAGTAAATCAAATCTTTAAAAACAAGTAATTATGATTCTGCAAGAGAAAACACATCCCATCGGTGCTACACGGGGCACACACGGTAGCAGAGCGATGGGAGACCGGACACCTCAGGCTGCGGCTCCCACACTCTCCATGACGTGCCCCCACAACCCCCACGCACTCCCGCCCACCTTACCTGCATGGTGATGGTGGGGGTGGTGAGACCACTGGCCGCTGTCAGTGTGGTCTGAGCAGCCGACACAGTGATGGCAGTGGGGTTGATCACCTGGCTTGAGAGGGTGGCGATGGTGCCCAAGGTGGTGATGGGTGTGGCCAGAGAGGCGCTGGTACTGTGGCCCCCAGCTCCAGCAAGGCTGGTGGAAACGGTGCCTGTCATCGTGCCTAGGGTTGTGACGCCTAAAGGCAGGGAGAGGCAGGATCCAGATGAGGCCTGCTGCTGCTGGTACCTCTTTCCCGGCATTTTCCCTCCCCGGACAGCGCTGGGGGCACTAGGAATTCTAGAGTGCTCCCAGCAGGAACTGAAAGCTCTGGAGAGAGCACCTGCACCCTCCCTCAACCGTCCCATTGGAGGAAGACCCAGAAAGAATATTAGCAACAGCTACATACCCGTGGTGCCCTTCACGACCAATGTGGTGACTGCTGGCTTGACAGCAGAAACAGTGACAGGGTTGACCAGGCGGACACCCCCCATGGGCACAGTGCGTAGGATGGTGCCCGGCTGTCCGGGGGCCCCCTTTAGTACCACCTAGAATACAGTGGAAACCGTGACCAATGTCACTCACAGGTTGGCCAGACCCCATGATGCCCCCTTCCCAGGACCCTCAGGACACATGTGGCCTGCTCAGATACTGGACTGGACAACGGGGTGAAAAGAGGGTCAGGCACGCCTCACCTGGGTCACGCCTTGCTGCCCATGGCCAGTGGCAATCTTGGGGACAGCAGTGATGATTTTTGCGGGAGCTCCAGTTCCCGAAGTCATAACCTTCGTGGTAATAATGGTGATGGGGGACTTGATGCCAGGACTGCTGGTCACACCTAGACAGGGCAGAGAAGGGGTAGCTTGGCTTCAGGCTGGGCTCCCGAAGCCCCACTGGCATGAGCTCCCACATCCCATGTCCTGCAGTTACTCCTGATGGCCCTCACTTAAAAAGATTAAGTGCCAATTAAAGCCGCTCTCTGCCACCTCCCTACGAACCGTAAACAAAAGGCAAGGAAAGGGTGGAGAAGAGGGGAAAAACCAAATAGAAACCAAAAGCATGCCAGACCCTGGCCTCTATGCCTGTCTGGCACTAGGCTCCTAACAGTTTGGTTCCCACCCACTAGGGGAAACCACTACCTGTGGCGCCCGCCTGCGTGATTATGGCTGACATGGGGATGGTCTTGATGATGGTGGTTGTGCCAGGCTTGGTGGTACTGGGGGACACGCTGCTGATGCCCAGGATGGTGGGCTTACTCCCAGCCCCACTGGCCTGCGTGGTGGTGATGATGGTGGTGGGCTTGCCATCTGCTGAGGTCACCAGCTTCAGGATGGTCCCGGCTGGCAGGGGCCCTTTGGTCTGCAAGGGAAAATAGGTGGAGGAGGGCAAGGCGGACCGGCATCGCTGCCAGGATGGAAACCAAGTCTGATGGCAACTGGTCTGACTATTCTCCACCGCAGCCCAAACAGCACTGGGACTATTCTGAAGATCATGGTTGACAAGACCGAGCAGCAGGACTTTCTACACAACGTGTGTTTCAAGGGATCTTCTCTAGGTAGGGATGCAAGTTCTACTCACTTGACTTGCAGAGTCTGGGACCCACAAGCTCACCTGGATGATCTGAGTCACCGGGCCCGTAGATGCCTGGCCTGTGACCGCTGAAGTCTGAACTGGTTTGGTCTGGACCACTGACATCACTTTGCCCAGATTGGAAATCTAAAAAGCAGAGAATGGAGCAGGGAGTTATCTGGAAACCAACCCAGGGTACGGCCTGGGCTGGGGCTCTCCTGGCTTGGGCTCAGCGCAGTGACAGAGCCTGGCAGCTGTCATGTGCAGCAGAGTGGCACCCGTTACTCACCAGAGCACTGCCCCCTGGGACAGAGATGGGGCTCTTCACCAGAGTGATGGTCTTGGTGACCCCACCCACAACTGTGGTCACCACCTGGGCCTGCTGGGCCACAGTCACAGTCCCAGACTTGTGCACTGTGATGATGGGGCGAGTGGATGTGTTGGCAGCGGAGGAGACGGATGTCCCCACCTGGGCGGCTGCAGTTTTCAGCATACGAGTGGCCGGGTTGCTCACCTGGGTGGGGGGAGAAAGACAAGCGATGGTTAGAACCGAGGACTGGAGACTCTATCTGGGAGGTCCCGGCAGGCCTACAGGTCGGCTCACTCTTCTCCAACTCTTCCCCTTTCCCCTTGCCAGACTGAAAAGCTTGGTTTGGTTGACTGAACAACCCAACCCCAGGTCTAGCCTAAGGCTGTGACACTCCTAAGGGTAAAAGGTTATTCCAGAGCCCAATGCAAGCACCAATCATAGACCAACAGCCTCTTGGGTTGGTCTGAAGCCCTGGAGAAGCGATCACTGTCAGATTATACTTACTGCCCAGAAGCCCCTAGCCCCAAGGCTATTGGCTCAGAACCAGGCCCGCGGGATGCTCACCATGACTGGCGAGGAGGCCACCTTCACAGTGGCAGGGAGGGTGGTAGTGCCAGGTGTCACAGCCACAGTTTTGACAATCGTGGTGCCTGCTGGGACACTCAGCACTGTGGGCGCCGAGGAAGGAGGGATCTTCTGGGTGGCAGCGGCTGCAGCGGCCAACGCAGCCATCCCACTCATCTGTGGGTTGCTGCCGATCACCTGTGGTGTTCACAGGGAGCGTGAACCAGAGGACTGGATCCACAGACTTCACCAGGGAGCTTCCTTCCCGCCCAGGGCTCCTCACAGGAGCATCTCAATTCTTCTGGCCCCAAACCTGGACTCTACCACTGAGCAGGCACAGTGGACCCAAGGCAGGAGTTTGTCAGCAGCTCTGAATCTTTTCTAAAGACCAGTCAGAGGTGGCTCCCTCTTCATGGGCCTGGGTCAACCATCCTCCCCACCTTCAGATTCTCCCCTCAGGCTTCAGAATAAGAAAGTTCACATTTAAAAGGCCTTCAGAGGCCTGACTAGGTACCTCAGCTGGTTAGAGCATCATCCCAATACACCAAGGTTGTGGGTTTGATCCCCAGTCAGGGCACATACAAGAATCAACCAATGAATGCATCAATGAAGTAGAAAACAAATTGATCTGTCCCTCAAATCAATAAATAGAAATTTTGTAAAAATCTTGTGTTTAAAAAATTTTAAAGGCCCTTGGGCCCTGGCCTGTGTGACTCAGTGGATTGAGCGCTGCTGGCCTGCTAATCGAAAGGTTGCTGGTTCAATTCTAGGTGCGGGCACATGCCTGGGTTGTGGGCCATGCCACCAGTCCCCCAGTGCGTGAGAGGCAGCGGGTCAATGTTTCTCTCCCCCTCCCTTCCCTTTTCTTTAAAATTAAATAAAATTTAAAAAAAAAAGGAAAGGAAAAAAAAAGGCCTTTGGGATCAGATGGCAAAAAGGTCCTTCTGAGGCGTTAACTTGTTCATTCTTATTAACCTGGCAACGAAAGGTCACCTCATCAGTGCTCTACTGCTGAGACAGGCCCTGGTGCTGCAGCTGGGTGGGATGCTAACTCAGTCAGGGCACCACCAATCACTGGCAAGTCCCACCCCACCCCACCCAATCTCCAAGTGGCTCCTCACCGTGCCCTGAGCGCTCTGCGAAGGCACAACCATTCGAACGCCTGCAGGAAGGGAGGTCACCGTGACAGGGGCTTTCCCAGCCTGGCTAGCAGGTCGCATGGTGACCAACGGGGTTCCTGTTGTAGCCTGAGGACCAGTCACTTTGAGAACAGCAGGGACACCTGAAAAGAGCGGGGTGGCCATGAGCAGAGGCGCCCCCCCACCCCGCAGTGCCTCTGTTGGACCCTTCAGCATTTAGACATGAACCGCCGGTGCTTCCTGTCTGGCCCTTCCAAATGCCCTGTGGTGACAGTCTCCACAGGAGGGACTGAGTTTGCCCCCCCACCACTAGCACTCTAACAAGCCTGCACTAATGACTGCCAGGCTTGCTGCTTAGCAGCCCTTACTCAGGGATGCGCTCTCCCGGTGGGCCTGGTGCCTGGGCCCCAGCTCACCTTGAGTCCTGGCTGCAGCGGGCACAGAAATCGAGCTTCCAGGCACTGGCGGCAACACCTGGATGGTGGTGGTGGTCGGGGGCGTGGCGGCAGCCTGGGGCAGGAGTGTGATGCCTACTTGGGTCAGTGGCTGCACAGCAGGTGCGGCTGCTGCAGGGGCAGGGCTCTTGGGAGGGTTGGTAGGCACAGACGGGACTGGATTGGGTGTGGGGGAAGTGGCAGTAGCAGCCGTGGCAGGAATGTCATATTTCTGGAGCTGCAGAAGGTAACTGTCGGCGGTTGCCACTGCCCCCCAGCTCACCTCCAGGGAGTTGGTGTTGGCTCGTACCAGCTGTACCCGGGCTGGAGGCGGTGGCTTTTCTGTAAGAGAGCAGTCAGTGAGGAGGAAATAGAGATTTCAAGGGTGAGCGTGAGAGAAGGCTATGCCTTCAGGCTCAGCTGCACCGCGGAGGGCCCTAAGGCTGCCGCCTGCAGTTGGCCTTACCTGTTTCTAGGTACCACAGGTCCTTGCAGCAGACCTGGTTGTTCCAGGCCTTTCGGTAGCCATCACGCCCACTCCAAATGTAGAGGCGGGTATTGATTGCTACAGCACAGTGGCCAGCTCGGGCCCGGGGAATATTGTCCTCCAGTGTGTCCATCAAGATGGTCTCCCAGGCCATGGTATCTGGGGAAAGCAGGAGGTGGAGGTCAGCAAGGGGCCAAAGGATCCCAAAACTCCTACTAGCCCTTTGGCCTTTTGCTGTCAGGGATGGAGAATTAAAACCAGGAAGTCATCAAAGATCAGTAAGTTAGAAAAAAAAAAACCCAAGAAAATGCTAAACCCTGAACTACAATCTGGGAAAACTATTTGAAATGCATGTTTCACCTCTTGCCCATCAAACTACACAGATCTTATAGAAAGAGGCGGGCAAGTTATGAAAAAGGCAACAGATCTAAAAAAAACGAAGTACTGCACTCGAAATAAGAGAGGTACAAACGTAACCCATAAGATGCTGGCAGTTTGATTTCAGTGCCTGTTGCAGCCACGGCTCCAGGTGAGCAGGGGGTATGGGGCTGGCCATGGGAAGACTTAATAATCACTTACTGGGTTTGGTGAAGAGCAAAAGGTTTGACAGTTACTGTGCTGGCACTGCTAGGGGTGTCTACTCAGGCACAGCCACCATGCAGGGCAGCTCGGCAACAATTCTATCTTGAGGTTGTCACCCTTCAAATACGCTTGGCACATGGGTGCCAACGACGCAAGGATACTCATGCAGGAGTGTCTGTGCAGGTTTCAGCACCAAGATAGCAATTCAAAAGAATCGAGGCCGTTTGGCATGTAGGGATGGGATGGTCTCCAAGATAGAAGAAATGGAAAAGGCCAGGTGCAGCTCTGCGTAGAGCAGGCTCCCATTTTGTTTCTACAGGAACCTTTAGGCAATACTTGTATTTACAGAGAAGTCCATGCAAGGGGGACGAGAAACTACCAAAGCGGCTGCCTCTGAGAAGCAGAATGGGAGGCGGGGGGAGGCTCTGCACCCACAGGCTTACGTGCTTCTGTATGTCAGACCTTGTGCAAGAGCCTACTCATCAAATGAAGAGGAGGGTCTCTGCGAACACTCCGCCCAGTGGCTACTTCTCATGAATTCCGGAGCCACGGGCCTTAGAAGCTCTGCTCCCTGCACACCCCACACAGCTCTCGGGACCAAGAAGGGCCAACCTTCACAGCCCTCCATAGGCCACTCCAAGCCCGAGGAGGCCATACCCAGGTTGAGACAAGCCAGTGTGTTGGTACACTTCCACTCCTTCTCGTGTGTGGCCACTTTGACGTCATCCATGACGAGAGGCACCCATCCACCAAACACGTACATTCTGGGACGAGGGAGGGAAGAGTAGGAGATGATTGTAGAGGAGGTGCCAAACTAGAGGCCACCTCTTCCATCCAGAAAGTTCTAAACACACTCGGTCCTCTAGCTCTCCCCAGGAGAGTTCCCTTGGGTGCACGAAGCTCTCGATGTTGCCCTCTTCTGCTTGGTGGCTCAGCCCTCACAAGAACTGTGTCACCTCCACTATATGGAACCACTATTTAGCTTATCGAAAGCTTGTCTCAGTCCCCATCATCCTCACATTCACTTTGGGACCTTGGTATTGACAAAGACACCCAGCTGCTTACACGTAGAGAATCTAGAATGGTCTGTGCCCCTCTACCCTGAGTTTGTCCTCTATCCCCTAGGGTCGTAATGAAAACAAAGGGCTGCTGAATATCAGTCCAGCCAAAAAGAGGCCTCCTCAGAATTACTGGAACACAACTGAGAACCTTTTGGGGCAGGGGTGACAGTGGGCAGGGAGAGGGCTAAGAAGAGCAAAGCAATGGCTAACTACTCACTTGTTGCCTATGGTTGTGGCCGAGTGGAGACTTCGAGGAAGAGGTGCTACTCCACTGAGACTGGGCTTATTCCACGTCAGAGTCTCTGTGCAGAGCAATGGAGAAAGGAGTTAGCCACAAGTGATCGGAAACATGCCCTCTGACCCAGAGGAAGTTCTCTGGCCTCGGAAAACGTTCTGGAAGGTAGGTGCCAATGCAGTCCAAGAATTCCATGCCTGACCTCCCTATGCCAGCGGGAGGCCGGTGGGTCAGGTCCTGGTATTTCTCAAGCTATGTTCACAATCTTGGCAATTAACGTCTCTTCAAAGACCTGCTATGTGCCGGCACTGCTCTCGGGGTTGGGGTAGGAGCAGGGAGCGTGAGACATGTCACTCTGGGTCCGACTCTTCACAAAATGCACTCACATACACACCACCTCTGCTGTCTACAAACCGAGTGTGGGAAAGCATTGTGCTGCTGGGAATTCCACTCACAAAAACCTATTTCTTTTGAGTACCCACAATGACCTAATCCACTCTTCAAAGATATGTTGTCAGCCGCCTTCTCTCCTCAGCCTTCTTCTGGTCAAAAATCCATACTTTTTTCTACCATTCCCGACACCCTACTGGTTACCAGCCCAAGTAGCCCCCAGAAGTTTCATGGGCTCAAGATCCCATTTGACTTCAACAGACCAGGACGCACAACTCCTGGTACAGCCTGACCACCGATGAATCGGCAGGCACTGACCAATGCCACCTAATCTGGACAACTCGTTTTCATTTTACATTTTTTAATTTATCCCCCCCTTTTTAAGGTTTTATTTACTTATTTTTTAGAAGGATGGGAAGGGAGGGAAAAGAGAGAAACACCGACCAGTTGCCTCTCACACACCCCCCGTGGGGGACCTGGCCTGCATTCCAGACATGTGCCCTGACCGGGAATTGAACCAGCAACATTTTGGTTTGCAGGCCAGCACTCAGTCCACTGAGCCACAGCAGCTAGGGCTTGACAATTCAATTTTAGAAAGGTTTGTTCTCCCTGTTCTCCTATAAGCTGGCAGACCAACTTTTCTTAAAAGCAATGCCACAAGCTCAGGGCAAAGATGACTGCCCCAAACAGGGTATCTCCCTCACTTTCCCGTGACAGAGAACCAAGCAGGACTCCTCCCTGTGAGCACCACCCCAACCACCCTATGCCGGCTACCCAGCAGACTAGCTTTGCCCTGAGGCCACCAGAGAAGCAGCTCCCACATCTTACCAATATCCAGGGTCCAGAGGTCCCCCAGCCGGCAGCCGCTCATCCCTCCGTAGATCACCAGCTTGGACTTCTTGTTGTCTTTCTCAGTATAGACTACGGCAGTGTGTGACTCCCGTGGTGGTGGCAAGACGCCATAAGTGATAGGGATGTCCCAGGCCACCACTCCGGAGCCTGGCCGTAATTCCAGGATGTATAAGTCATTCAGGTACCTGGAAACAAAAGGTCAGTTATGGCTAGCCCCAACTGCAGGTGCCAGAGGGCTCACCAGCTTCTGTGGGTGAACTGTGGATTCCCTGGGACACAAAGGGGGGCTATGGTCACATGAACAACTTCTTCTTCTACCCTCGCTCCCAGGGAGGGGCTGCTAAAAGCTACCAAGGATGACCATGAGTCCAAGAGGAGCAGCAGGACAGGGCGTGCTGAGCTGCCTTGCACAAAGCTGGGCATTATTATATCAGGGCCTCCAGCTTGGTATTACTTCCAGACTTTAGGAAGGCCCTTGGTCACCAGTCTCGGAAAATAAAAATAACCATCACTGCCCTGACCAGTGTGGCTCAGTGCGTTGGGCATCGTCCCACAAACCAAAAGGTCGCTGGTTCAATTCCCAGTCAGCACACACGCCTGGGTTTCGGGCCAGGTCCCCAGCTGGGTACGTGTGAGAGGCAAGTGACTGATGTTTCCCTCCCTCTCTCTCTCCCTTCCCCTCTCTCTAAAAATAAAAACCATCACTACCCCTTCAGGCAGCAGCAACCTCAGAAATCGCTGGCTCTAAACTGAGTCCAAGGAGTAGAACCGGCCCAAAGCAAAGAAGGTTTGGACCTCCTGGCCTGTCTTTCCCGACGTCCGCTCCTCAGGGTTAGAGACCTCAGAGCCAAAAAGCTCCCACAGGGCATCTAGTGCCACTTGTTTTTTCACAAAGGAAAGGGATTTGGCAATGGTGGGCGGGTCGGTCAGTTGGTGCGTGGGATTCCACATGAAGAGGACACAGCCTCACCTCGGAATGTTGTTCTTGGGGTCCTCGCTGTCATTGGCCAAACCTCCGAACAGGTAGCATTTATTGCCCACGAGGGAGAAGCTGTGCCCAAGCCGAGGACATGGAGGGGGCCCATTTTTGGGCGTCTTTGCTTTGAGTCTCTTCCATTCCCACCGACTTGCCTGCAAAGTCAAGACTGGGTGGTTAAATCAGGGGTGAGCCCGTCTTCTGGGCCCTGGCTGTTTGTCACGTAGGGAGGAGCTGGCCAGCCGCCTGAGCAGCTCCTTCAACTCATTCCCCACCTCACCACCTCTATCCCACCCCCCCAGCCACAACTGTAAGAAGCACACCAGGGGCTGTTACCTGGAGCTCGTAGAGGTCATTGCTGTATTTCCCATACTCTACCATTCCACCAAACACCAGCAGGCGAGTCCCGTCACACACAAAGCCATAGGCTGCACACCCAGGGGGGATGTCCCCTCTCACAGCTGGGATGAACCACTGGTTGGTAGCTGGCAAACAAAAGGAAGCAGAAGTCAGAACAATTTGGAAACTCCTAGAACCAGAGTCCCCACACCTCTTACTCCCCAGATCCACCTGACAAAATGCGGCCCAAGCCCTGGCTGGTGTGGCTCAGTGGAATGAGCACTGGCCTACAAACCAAAGGTTCACGCAAGAGGCAACCTATGGATTTGTCTCTTGTACATAGATGTTTCTCTCCCTTTGTCCCTCCTATCCCCTCTCCAAACAAACAAACAACAAACAGACAAATTCAAAATATGGCTCAAGAAAGGAGGGGCTGACACAGTGACTCTATCCCCAAGGATATGGGGACTTTCTCCTTTGAGCATTCAACTGTCAGTCCTCTCTCTCAGCCATCTTCAAAAGCCCTTGATCTCAGAGGCTACCTCAAAACAGCCTGCAAGCACCCCGTTTCTCATCAAGTTTGCCTTAATAAGCCGGGAGTCACTACTGACCAAGGTAATTCATCAGCTTCTGAGACATGGCCACTGACTCCCTTCACCTACTGCTGGATGGATCTTCACAAAGCAACTTCTAACACCCAAATACTCTCTCAGTGGCCCCATGCTCCTCCTTCTGGGGGCCTATGGCTGCAGCTTTAAGTGGCTGAAAGAGTGATTGGCACTGGCTGGTGTCCTTTCTCCTTGCAGGTTCAGGGCACCTGAAGGAAGCCAATCAAGACAGCCTGGCCTGCTGGTCGGGGGCAGGGGTAGCGAGGACACATAAGAACAGTCTCTGCTGGTGTCTCCTAGGTGATGGTCCACAGCCACCTTCTCCCTATGCCATCACCACACCCCTCCAGAACACCCTCAAACACCAGAGGTAGCAGCAGTAACTTGAGCTTCTGTGGCAGCCTCAGTCTCTGCCAGAGCCACAGAAGCTTCCCCAGAGCCCATCACCTCCAGGGGAAGCCACTAAGGAAGAGGGTGCATGAGAAGCCAGGCAGCAAGCCTGGTGGTCCAGCCTTCTGTGACGCTCATGACTCGCCCTCTCTTCTGAGTCCATTCAACTCCCCTCGTACCAGAGGTGCCAGGGCTTCCTGGAAAAGTAATGGGGCAAACGTCCTCCTCTCTTTTGAGGAGTCCCTTTCATCACATGTTACTTAAAGGACTGTCCTGTAGATGATATGCCACACTCTTTCCAAAAATCGAATGGGGGCTCAGACTCGCTGTGCTTGTTTCCATGCCCTTTAATCTGTTTTGGTCAACACCAGCAAGCAAAGGGTTGGGATTTGGCTGTAAACGTAGCACTTCCTGGGACCTGAGTTGGGGGTTAAGGCTAGTCCTGTGGGGAGGGCCTTGGGAGGCCCGGGCTGCTCACAACTTCTTGCCTGACCTTCCACCAAACATGCAATTGGTCATTGACCCAGATCCCTCTTCTGTATATGCTGGGTAACCCAAATCCTATGTTATCACCCCCAAGGCCCAACATGCACTTCACCCAAAAGGCCTGCCCTTGTCCACAACCACCAGCGCACCTCCAGAGATGGTCAGAGCCCTTTCTGTCACTGCCCACTACCCAACTGCACAGGTTGGTTTGGAAGAAGCTGTCCGTCCCCCCTCTGTAGTTCAGCTGAGTCACAGGGACTTTGAGATGCCTAGCGGCAATCCTCCTCTCCCCTCCTCTGCCATTTTCCTAGTACAAATGCAATGTTGTACTGCCTGCCATGCGCACGCACCCAGGCCCCAGGCCCCCGCTGCCTTGTTCTCATTCCTGGTGCAAACACACACCGAGAAAAGCCAGTAGCTTCACTTGCAGGCAAATCGCCCTGCAAGTAATGGTCCCTGAAAGGGACCTCATCCAACTCAGTGGGATAAAAGCTGACAGAAACCTCTGAGATCGCCTCGGCCAAATGTCCTTCAACTGATAAAGGAACAGAACCCAGGAGGGGAAGTGACTTACCTGAGGTCACAGAGCAAAACAGACAAGAACCCCGTCATCAACTTAAAGTGATCGTTAGGTGCCCACCTCTGCTCCTCAAGCACAAGGGAGCACTGGCCACCCTCGCTCACCCGAGTACTCTTATGGCTGCCACACACAGCTATGGGGCCATCACTCAGAGCTGGGGCAAAACAACATGGCAAATGGAACCAGCCCACAGCTTTCCCGCCACACTGATCCCTGACCCAGCTGCCAGGCTATAAGTAACCTGGGATGTCCTAAGAGCTCACAATTACCAGCTCATTCTATGGTACTCAAGAGGTCTTGATCTCATTCTAGAACACTCCAGGCAGGAGCAGAGGCCCTCTGCACCCCCATCAGCAGCATTCTGTCAGGCAATGCAGTTTCTGGTATGAAATTGCCAACTGTCTCTCTTCATTTCATCCACAGTCCCAGTTCCACCCCCGAGATGGCACAAACAACTATCTCTTAAATACGACAGCTGTTTGTAGTCACCCCTTAATAGCATCCCTAGCTCATCTAGTGGAGAGCGTCGTGTAATCTAATCTCTGGGTCCCTCATTCTTGATGTGCTCTGGTTTTGTCACCACTCTCAGCTGGGAGCAGGATTTGAGGAAAGGGGGCTGCTTGCACCTGGGACCCTTCATGGGCTGCCCAGAAATACGACTCCACCTTCTTTCTCCTCAACAAGACGAAAACCCCAGCTTCTATGTTTTATCAGCCGCCCCCCACCCGTCCATGCTGTGCCAACTCTGTCTGTAGTTGCTGCCACCCTGTCAACCTCTACACATCACCACCTAGAGACCCATCCCAACACAGTGGGTAGGTAGATGGTCAAGCTGCACCAGCTGCCTTTTTGTTCCCTCTGTCACACCGAGACACTTCCTGTGTGGCAGACACGGTGCTGGGTGCCGGGAGGCACAGAGGACACAGCTCGAGTACTCGGAGTCGAGTCCAGCGGGGAGGCTGTTGTGCCCTCCTCCTGCGATGGGAAGAGCTGCCTGGAAAGAGGTCTGCACTGAGCAGGGGCAATTATTAGTGGGTGGGTGGGGGGCTTCTCAGAAGAGGTAGCCAGGCCTCAAAGGGTGAACAGGACTTCCCGGTAAATGAAACTAACAGGGCCAATCAGGAAGTAACTACAAGAACCATGTGAGAAGAGAGGGCCCGGAAGGAGCAAGGAGCGGGGGAACAGATTTGAAACAAGTTTAATTCAGTAACCAATTAGCCACAGGAACAAAAGAACAGGGAGGTTTTCCCCAGGTGGTGGCCTCTGCCTGTTAACTGAAAGAAGAAACAACGTAAGAGTCTCCACAAAGGTCTGTTCACCCGCCAGACTCCACAACCAGCTGGTGGGGTGACCCTGGACCTGTCACTTCCCCTCCTGGACCCTGATTTCCTCGTGTGCAAAAACAAGGAAGTTCTACTACATGTTTTCCAAGACTCCTTCCAGTTGAAACAGTTGGCAGACCTTAAAGAACCACTGAGGCCAACTAGCCTTGGGTGACTGGTTTGGCAACCAGCTTTGCCCTCCCCTCACCAGGTCGCACCCCACCCTGACAGCACCAGGTCCTCTGAGTAATCCGCTTTGCTAGGTTGAAATAAAATTCCCTGAGGTCAAGGACAGTAGCCACCCTAAGACCTCCCAAAGACCAGCCAAGTGTCCCACAGGTGCCATGGTGACTGCAGAAACAGCAGCAGGACAAGGACTTTCTCACACTCTTACCACCCCCCACCCCCAGTCATCCCTAGATTGTTGAGCTAACCAAAGGAGCAAAGTGCAAGCACAAAGTACAAGGGCGCACACACGCCCCCTGAATGGGCCCCCTGGAGTCTTTAATCTTAGTGACAAACAGGGAATGCTTCTGGATCAGCAGCTCTTTGAGCACTCATCCTGCAGAAGGTAAAGTGCAAGAGAAGAGGCCTAAAGACAATATGCCCTGACCTCATTTAAAACAAAACAAAGATAAGCAGGAAAGCAGCTGTGGAGGCAACAGCTAAGGATGACAAACATCTGCGCCGCCACTGGTGGGAGAGGGGCAACACCAAGCCCCATCTCTTCAAAGAACATACGAACAACCTTGCAGCTACAGGAAAGGCCAGAGAGCCCTGTTCCGTTATTTGACCACATTTGATGGAGCATAAACACTCATGAACAGGGAGTGGGGTCGCTAGTCGCTCTCCTGGGAAGTCACCTAAGCAGTTGTTTAGGGCAATTTCCAAAGTGCTCCCCTGGAAGAACTGGGGCTACAGCCCTTTGGAGGGTTGGCTATCTGCTACTATACGACTATCCTTACAGTTTAGGAATAAATCAAGGCCAAAGCGACCAGTTCATTGTAACAAACTAAGGAATATGCAGAGGCCCTAGGAAGAAGTGGACTTTGGAGCTGATGCTAATTAGGCCCCTGCCCTACTTTCTAAAATGGTATTTCCCTGCCAAGGAGCCTGCTCCAGGCCTTGCAAGAATAAAGTCGGTCCAAGGAGCTGAGGTTCTGCTCAGGGCAATGGCCTCTCTAAAAACAGCCATGCCCCTCAGCCTTACCTTACTGGGCTAATTGCTGCTATCGCAGCTGTCTGAGTTGGCACAGGATGCCACCAACCAGCCTGGCCTTGCTAGAGGCAACAGGTGCTGAGACCCGGAATGCAAAGGGTCACTGCAACCCACCAGCCTTTGAAAGTCAACTGGGTCGGTTGGGGGCAACAACCTGCAAGGCTCAGAAAAAACTGCACGCTGCCTGGGATGGGGCGGGCGTGGGGGGGCGTGGGGGGGGGAAGCACCCAACCACGAACCCAGCTCCTTCAACCGTTGCCACTCCAACCAACTTCTCCCTCCGCCTGCCAGCTCTCCACCCTAGAGCAACCTCAAAACTGGAGGAGGTGCCCAGACTCAAGGACCCAATACCGGTACCATCAGAGCCCCGGAAAAGTAGATCTGGAGCAAAAGCACTTTGCTAGATATGATGGCAAGAGGGAAAGAGCTGGCAGATGGCCCCTGGCCATGTCCAAAGGAGACACACCTCCCTGCTGCGGCAGAGGAGAGCTTCCTAAAAGACTACTGTCGATGGGGGGGTGGGTGGGGGGGGGGCGGGGGGGGCAGGCGGGCTTTTCCCTGTTCATGTCCTAGTCCCTCAGGCTCTCAACCAGAACAGACACAGCAGCCCCTCCTTCTAAACAAGGCAAGGCGCTATGGGCCAGCAGCCATTCAACAGCTCACTCAGAATAAGGCACTAGGTGTGCAAACCAGGCCAAGTGGCCACCATAGGGAAGGGGGCTGCAGGAGGATGCTGCTAAGTCCTAGAGACCTACCAAGGACGCCTGGCGAAAGGCTGAGAGCCAGCCACATGCCAGTGATACCCCAAGACGGGTGCAGCACAGCGTTCAGTCTGCCATCCAATCCCAAAAATGGGGCCTTGGGTTTGTAGGAAGCAGCTCTCCCCTCAAGCTCTCGGGAACAGAAGAGTCGGGAAAGGGACCACCTATCCGGGTGAGGGATCACTAGAATTTATCTCCTACACCCGAGGACCAAGAAAACGAGTAATGTGAAAAGAAGCTTTGCAGAAGTGAATGCCAAGAAGAGGCGGCGGCATTGCTGCCTGACCTGTGGTTCCCCAAGGCTCCTGCACTATCTGAGAAAGGTTGCCCACCACGCGCACAACCCCCAGAAATCGGGATTGGGCTGCTCGACTCTGCCCCTTTTCTCGAGACAGAACTCATCTGCAACCTAGAAGTTGTCATATCTCCCGAATGAGCACTAGCGATGAATAGATGAGCAGGCGCAGGAGGAAGAAGGGAGGGAGGGAAGGAGGGGGTGGGAATCTGCCTGCGCCAAAGGGACGCATCCGCCAGCCCGCCAGCCCGGGTAACGGTGTATGTCTGAAGTCACCACCGCTAGCGACGCCCCCGCACCAGCCGGACTAGACAGTTCCTCTTCAATAATGAAAGAACCCCCTCAAAAACAGGAGAGTCGGGGACTGTAAGATCAGGGAAAAGAGCAGAGGCAGGGCAGAGCAAAGGGTCGGGGAAGGGAGAAGAAAGCAGATCAGTGAGGAGGAAAAGGGAGGAATAAGAGGAGGGAGAGAGAGAGAGAAGGTGAGGAAAGAAGGAGACAGGTGAGGAAAGTAATAGAGGGAGGAAAGGAAGAGGGAAGAGATGGAGAGAGAGAAGAGGAGATGGAAGGAGGGAAAGATCCGAGGACCCAGCGGGCTTTGCACTCACCCGTGTTGTACACGTGCAGTTCATCCACTATCCCCTCGTTGCCGCCGCCGAACACCACGATGAGCTCCTTGATAGCCACGGCGCGGTGGCCGTGACGGGGTCGGGGCACTGGACCCGACCAGCCCACCACTCGCTTCCAGCGGGGCTGCAGGAGCACCGCTTGCGAGTTGGCGGGCGACACGGCCGAAGCCATAGTTCCAGGAAAGGGCACGGTGGGGAAAAAGTCACCAAGCGGGAAAGGAGCCCCCAACACCTCCCACACACCCCCTTTCGTCTAAGGCAGCTCTCACAGAGAAGCAGTTCCTCACACAGCGGTGGACGGCTCCATGGAGGCCGCCATCTTAAATATCCTCCTTCCCTTTGACTCTTCCCCTCCTTCTCGCTCACCCCGACTCCTCAAGAGCACCCCGAAACTGTCGAGAGCCTAGGCCAGAGAAGCTGGAGGCCGTCGAGTCTCGCCGCTCTGACTACTTGTCCGGGCGCTCCTGCTCACAAGCTGGAGCGGGAGACCCTGGGAGCCGCCATCTTGAGCCGCCTCTCTCTCCTCCCTTCCTCAATCGTAGCCCTCACCCGCCGGAAATGGCGGAGCCCCGGCCCGGTTCCCACACCCCCCAAGTCCCCTGCACTGGCCGGCTTCCGGGGCGGGTGGAAAGGAGCCACAAGCGCCGCGGTTGTCCCAGCCCCACCGGTGCTCAGACCACAATTGTGGGAGCCGCCATCTTGAGACCGTCCCGCTTCCCCTCCCAGCACTTAGTGCCGTCGACGCTCCCGAAACGGTCTCGACACTCGTAAGGAATAGAGGTGCGCCGGAGGCCAGTGGAACGAACTCGAGTTCTCGGGGACTGTTCGGAGGCTTGCGCTGTACGGCTTGTGAGGTCTCAAACCTCTCCCCTCAGTCCGCCTCTGCTGCTCAGGCTGCGCCTGCCGCCCTGGGAGCCGCCATCTTGAGATTAGCTCCCCCTTCTCCCCTATTCTCTTCCTCTTGGGTCAGTTCTTCCACTGCAAACCAAACTCAAGGAAACGTCCTATCCTCGCTTCCCGCCTTATAACTCCTTCCCACAGGAGCCGCTCCAAAGAGCCAGAGTTACGCCCCGAAGTGGCAACTGTACGGCATGAGGAGCGGTAACGGCAGGGTGCTCATGCCTCCTCCCTGGGAGCCGCCATCTTGTGTGAAGAAGTAACAACTAAACATGGCGGCAGCGACGGTCGGGCGAGGGGCGGGGTCGGGTGACGTCACTGCCCCTCCAGCCCTCGCTTGGGTACGTCTTTGGCGCGCCCCTAAAAGAAGCCTCCGCACTGCCTCGCGGCGAGGGACTGGGGTCGCTGCGCGCTCGGCTAGGGTTCAGGCAGCGCCCCTGTCAGGCGCAGGCGCGCCCAGCCCCGCGAGCCCCCTCAACACTTCTCCACGCCTCCGCCCTGGGAGCCGCCATCTTGCCGCTTCCCCTCGCCCGGCTGTCCGCGGGCGTCAAGAGCGACTTTCAGCACAAAACAAAGATGGCGGCTGCGGCATCTGGGGAATGCCCGGATGAGAACGCCTCGTACGAGCTTGGCCCCGCCCCCCCGGGAACGGTTTTTCCCCCGCCCCGGGTCGCGGAAGGGACATACACTCGAGTTGCTTTTAACTAGCAGTGGGGACAGGGCACATGTTTACTGAGGGTGGCTGATAGGAGACAGTAGAGTCCCTCCTGGAACCAGGGATAGACGTTTTCCCGCTCCGTACACAGCGTCCGCAGGAGAGCCGGCGAGCTCACAGCGGGGACAGCCGGAGGCGGGGCGAGAGTGGGCGGTGACGCATCAGGCTCCCAGGCTCCCAGGCCAGCCGGCTCCGCCCCCGGGAGCAGCGCCTCCACCGCCTCCTCCCGCGCTCTAACTAAATGAGCCGGGCTGCGCGCCAGGGCGCCGCAGCGCATAGGGCCGCCCCCGGCCCCGCAGGCCGCAGGGATGGCTGCCGGGCAGGCGCCATTCGAGTTGAGCGGACGGGCGCGGGAGAGCTCTGTCGCCTCGTGTCACCCCGCCCCGCCTCCCGCCTGCTTCCCATGGCCCCGCGCCCCGCCCCGCGCGCAGGCGCAAGACCGCTTTTCAGGTCCGCCCTTCTTGAGATTTGAATTTCCCCCAGCCAAGCGAGAGAGACAAAATACCCGGATGGTGATCGCTGGCCTTTTCGCGCCAATATTGTGAGTTCTCACTACAACCTTGAGAGGTGGGTACTGACGTTACCCCCGGGTTTCAAGTCGGTTACAAATCTTACATGAGGCCTCTTGGTCGCTGCACCGTCATGCTGAATGCCAGACACAGGCTGTAATGCAGGAGCCCTGCACCGGTGTCTGGGAGCTGAGAGTGACAACGGATGATTTTTTTTTTCACTGCCATCTTTATTTTGTCTTCATTTTCACCAACCTTCAGCCAGAATTTGGCTTTTCCCGCAATTATGAATGTAGGCTGCAGAGCACAGAGCGTTAGCCAGGTGACTTTGTCACCTGTGAAAATGACAAATCACTTTTAGATCGTATAGTTTTTGTTGTAGATATGCTGAAATTAACTAAATGACAAGACCTACTGGCAGGCAGAATAACTACTTTGAAATTATTGTAGTTATTTAACCTACCTGTAGATCCTGAAATTTAATCTACTAGTAAAGAAGCACATATATTACCATAATCTCACATTTTCAAAAATATTTTCGTAACTGTCTTTCGACTTATTTATGTTGTAATTCTCTTGTTTTACTTTTGCATTTGGAAGCAATTGTTTAAGAAAGGCCAAAGAAGCCTTACCTGTGTGGCAGTGCTACCAACTTCCCTAAATGACCTTCGAGGTTCACCTCCCCTCTCTGACCCTGAGTGCCTCCCCTGTAACAAGGAAGCTGAGCTGCTGGTCCCCCGGGGCCTTGCCCACTCTCAGCAATTCCCTCCCCAGAGTTCAGGGATCCATGTGGTTGATTTAGGTTCCTTGGGCATTCAGGTGGCTCAGATTGACCTCATTTGGGGGTGTCCCACATTGAATCCCTAGGGCTGGCATCCCCTTATCTGCAGAAAAGCAGCAAGGGTGATTAGGGTGGTTGGACACAACAAGGAGTTGTCAAATGCTACAGGCCAAAGAAGCCAGCGCTGTGACAGGTGATAGTGTCTCCTGTTTAAACGCATATCACCCCAGGAAGCAAGAGAATCTAAGGAATGTGTGTTAGCCCCTTAGCCAGGAGATTGTCCTGCTTTGCAGAACTTCCCCCAAAGACCCCAGAACAGGTTGCTGATGCTATGGATCCTTTGGCCTTTGTGTGCTGGGTGCTGGGGGAATCTATGAAGAACTCGGAGTGTCCTGTAACAAGGGTCATGGCACTTCAGGGGTGTAGAGGAGCTACTTCATAAAGTACTCAGTAGTGGTCTTCCTGGTGAACTTGGAAAATTGGCTTAATTACACGTCACTTTCAACTTGCACAAGGGCTCAAGTGGACTCTGTTGGGTGGCCAGAATGAAGAGTCATTTGCCATGCCCTTCCTGGACCTCTTTATGAAGTTGACAGTGTTTGACTTATGTCCCTGGCTCTCCTCTATGCTCGCTGGCAGATAGGAGAGTCAGGCTAGCTTGGGCTACATGGGGCCCTGGAAGGCCTGGTACTTCACACCAGGAAGCCAGGCCCCAGATGGGTACAGGGAAGGACCTAGGGACACCAGGCGGGCCTCAGCTCCCCACCCAGCCAGAATCAGGAGCGCAGTGGGGAAGCACCTGAGAGGAAATGACAGCTGAGTTGGGGGTGTGAGCAGGCCAGGTGCAGGAGGGAACGAGGACTAGTCTCGTTCTAGCCGGAGGATAGACCGGGCCTGGGAAGCTCTCAGGGCTACATGGGGATGACATTTTGATGTCTGGCCAAGAGGCTGGGATGGGGTCATGCATGGAGTGAAAAGTCAGCCGCTGGAGGGTATTGAGCAGGGGCCGATGTGATCCGATTCAGGGATATTTGAGGAAGACCCTGGGGACTGCTGTGTGCAAACCATGTCAAAACCACCTTAGTGGCCACCAGCCTGGAAGTGGTAACCCCAGGGCAGGGGTGGCCTGGAAGCTCCTTAGCCAGAGAAGAGGGAGTGGGAGGTGCCGGCAGTGCCACATGCTGAGATGGAGGCTTGTGGTCAACCAGCAGATGCAGAGTCAGGGTGAGGACTTCCATTCACTTGTGGAAATGCTAGGCTGCCTGGTCCTCCTTAAGAGCAGACCCCTAAGGCAGGACAGACAAGAGCAAGAAAGCTCAGCATGATGCCCAGCAGCTCCCTCCCCAGAGAATGCAGGTGGGCCCCCATGGTCCTGCTAAGAAATGAATTGGCAAACAGGACCAATGAAAGAGTAAGGCGAAAAAGCAAAGATGTTGGCTTGGTGCTTGAATGAAATCGAGCAAGTCTTGAAGGGGTGGAGATGGATGGAGGTGGAAGAGGCTATGGGGGAATACAGGGAAATGGAAAAATACAATAAAAATAATTTTTTTAAATTCTAAAATATTCAAAAATATACTTTATGAATGGGAAAAAAAAGAAGAAGAAGAAATTGAGTGGGTCTTCACTGAGCACCAAAGGGAGAGCGAAGAATCAGCTTGTCCTGCCCTTCCAGGTCCTAAACTACAGGAGGGGAGATAGAGATTGTGCCGCTAAAAATAAATAGTGCTACTTCCGGCTGGCATAGCTCAGTTGGTTGAATGTTGTCCCACAAAGTGAAAGGTTGCAGGTTCAGTTCCTGGTCAGGGCACATGCCTGGGGTCTCCCTGGTTGGGGCGTGTGCATACCAGAGGCAACCGATCAATGTTTCTCTCCCTCTTTCTCCCTTTCCCTCTCTGTAAAGATAAGTAAATCTTTTAAAAAATGGTGCTAAGTGGTCTACACACATAAGAACTTTAACTTATGTAAGGACTCTGTGGAGGAAATACTGGTAGCATCCCCATTCTATAGGTATGTAAACTGAGGCCCAGAATGGCTAAGGCCCCAGGTCACACAGTAGGTGCAGGGGAGCAGAGGTTTGAACACAGTCCTCTTCCCCACGCCTGCAGGACTGCTATCTTGGTTTTGAGTCATTTTCGGAGCATCGAACCTCTTCTTTCTTCATTAATGTGTTTCTAGGCTACTAGGCCAAATCACCCCACAGCTGGCCTGAAAGCAGTTCACAGTCAGTGATAAGTCTACATTGTTTTAAATAGCTTGGGTGATTTGGGGGTGGTGGGGCACTTCCGGGGATGGCAGGGGGGCAAGCCAGGGTAGCAGGCTTGGAGAGTTCCTTGTGCTTCCTGGCCTCATACCCAAGAAGCAGAGGGGAGGTGTTTACCCCGCCCCCAGCACCAGACCATCTCTTGCCTTGGATTCTAGAACTCAGACTACAGCTAATGGTCTCTCATTCAGCTGGCTATTTGGTTACAGGTGTTTTGGGGCTAGCCTGGAGACTTCCACAGTTATAACACCACTGAAGTGGGAAAGCCCATTCTGAGTTGTAAGAACAGACTTAGGAAAGGTTGGAGTCTGTAAATACAGTGGCTCTAAGGGAACTAGGGCAAGGCACAGGATTTTTAAAAAAAGATTTTTATTTATTCATTTTTTCGAGGGATGGGGAGGGAGGGAGAAAGAGAGGGAGAGAAACATCCACTGGTTGCCTCTCGCACACCCCAAACTGGGAACCTGGCCCTCAACCCAGACATGTGCCCTGACTGGGAATCGAACCAGTGACCGTACAGTTTGCAGGCCAGCACTCAATCCGCTGAGCCATACCAGCCAGGGCAGGAGCAGGATATTGTCCACAGATGAGAGAAGAACAGCATAGGTATCCGGAGAGGCATGAAATGTTTAGCCAAAAGAGGATTCTAGAGCCCATGTATAAGAAGGTAAACAAACATACTGCAGGTATTGCTTCACTTTTTTTTTTTTCTGATGAAAACTGTTGATGGATCCTGAGGCTGAGAGTCAGCAAGATGGAGACTCTTTTTTGGATGGTTTTCTTTCTAACCACACTCTTTTTCTAACCACAGAGGAAAAAGGCAGAACAGTCTTCTGCTCATGCCAGCCAATCAGCAGGACCCCTGCCTTCCTCTGGCCTGCCACTGCCACTCCAGGGCAAGGTCGCAGCATCTGCGTCGGAAATCACCGGAAATCACAGGACTTCTTCCTGCTGGCTCAGCTGGGAGGCTGAGGAGGAGCGTTTTGCAAAAACTGTTTATCTGAATTCTGAAATAACTGTGAGGGCTGCCACTCTTTTAAGCTTTCTGCCCCAGGTCACACCTAGGGTTCCAGATGAAGTCCCAGTCAAGGCAGGCTCTCTGCCATGTGGCCGTGGCTAGCTGCCTCTGTGTGGGCACTGTCTACATGGGCGTTTTTGAAAGTGTCGCTGTGCAGATGGGCTATGAGCACTATGCGGAAGCCCCAGTAGCCAGCTTCCCTGCCTTCCTGGCCATGCCCTTCAACTCACTC